CGGTCTGATGCCATCGTCGACAGTAATAGAAGCCATTCCTTTTTCCATCGTCTAAGCTCATATATTGCTGGTCCACCTATACGTTCAAAATCTTTTCTCACCGTATCAGTCCAGGTCTTGATTGGCTTAGCAAGTAACGAAATATGCGACAACTCTTGTAGTGGACGGCAGAACCACCTAACCACCGAAGGTGACTCTCTGTGATAACATTATTAATACAATGGTTGTATTTGAACGAAGACGGATACAATCATGTGATATTTTATCCGCTCAACCGACTGTAAAATGTGCCTTGGACAAGAGTGGTCAAAGGTGGATAGCTTTTAAATAATATAACATAAAGATCGAATGAATCACGGTATATAGATGCGGATTTTCAAATAATGCTAAATAACGTGCCAGAAACTGCAGCAAGAATCGGATCAGGATCAATATACAAAACGAAAATCTTTTCGCCTTTCGTTGTGCAAGAAGCTGATAAAACGCTTCTTTTTATAAATTCATTGATACTTGAGGAAGTCCGATTTTAAATACCTTGGGTCCACTCTAATACCAAATGGGCAGGCAAAAGGCGATATTATAATGTGGATAACGGTGAATAATTTGCATTTCGTCATAACTGTCAGCGAAAAGGACAACATCATCAGTGTATTCAAGATCTGTGATACGATGCTCTGAACTGATTTGGACATCCCTTGAGTGCCGACAAGGAGTGTCCATTACCCAGTCTCTCGCATAGTTGAATATTGTAAGAGAAAGGACACAACACCTTGATGAACACCAGTTCTTATTTCGAAGGAATCTCCCTCCTGTCAGTTCCCCATTTACACAGACCTGCTCCGACGTGCGCTCATAAAATACCTGCAGCCGCAAAGTCGAAACACATGACATTGAATTGCAAATATCTGAAACGATGTTCCAACACCCTTCTTAACGTGAATATCTGGTAAGCAGAACCGCGCCCTGGTCTGAATCCAGCTTGGTTAGGGAGCATTCTTCTGTTCAGTATTTCCATAAATCTACTGAGTAAAAGGAATCAAAGATTTTCGCTGAGACGTCTAATAGGTTGATTCTTCGATAATTGTCGCAATATGTCCTATCACTTTTTTTGAGAATTAGGAGCAGAATTGCTTTGCTCTAATCATTTTTATTTCTTTTTCCCATACCAGAGTACATTTATTGAAGATGCATTATGAAGGACGATGGAGAACATTTAAAGAGTTCAACCTGAAGACTGCCTTCTCCCGGAGTCTTATTGGCCTTAAACTTATGTTCTGTCGAGGGCTCGCAATTTCAAGAATGTGGTTCAGTGAACGTATCAGGCGATGGCGCTTCATGGTTAAATTTAGCCTTAAAGAATTCTTTCAATCTTATGAGGCGGTCCTTAATAGTCTTGACTGGCACGCCATTGCTGTCCCTTACCATTTCATTGATCGTTCCCCGAATTGCTTTATGAAGAAGGCGGAATAGTTTCCTATTGTCACCTAATCGAACCGCACAGTATCCATTCTTAAGGCCATGTCACTCCAATAGTGGTTTCTGTCCTACTCTACTGCTTTCGTTGCGATTTGCAGGATCACCTAACATTCGAGCTTTGGCATCTTTTTCAGACAGTTGGACAGTTGCTTCCGATACCCAACTAGCACACTTCCTACTATGCCCTGGCATGGAAGTGGCTAACCTTCGGAGACATTCCATTGGTTTGGACCAGTATTCATTTGCCGTTCCAGAAAAATCATTGATATTTGTATCCTTGAGATAATTCAATAATTCGGTTTGAAATGTACTCACTTTTCCCCAATTTTTTAGTTTGAGATAGTTTAAAGATCTTGGTGTTGATAATTAGGAAAGTGGCAATAGGCAAGAAATTGCTGTACGATATTTGGATAGGATGTGGATGGTTCCCAGCATCGACAAGCGTTCTGCGCATACACACGGAGTTAACTGAAAATTGCTTGACTTCCTTTTATTTTACCATTCAACCATTCGCGATAGAGTCATATGAGGATATGCAGTGCAGGTGGATTCCCATCACCTGGCCTTGACTTTTACTTGATAACTGTTTTATTCCTTTCGTCAGGTAAAGAGATAATTTTGACAATCAATGTTTTAAGTGAAAAAATAGAAAAAAAGAAATATTTTTTATAAGGGAAATTTTTCCAAGAAATTAAGTCTACTATTTCTATGTAAGACATAAGTTATTACAGGACATAAAAAATTTGATCTTATTTAAATAACATTCATTTTTTTCCAATTTATTTTTATTTAGTGTAAAATTACTATGGGCACCAGTTGTTGATTCTGTCTATTGGAAAGCTTTGGGGCGAAGAAAATCATGGATGATACCTTGTCAGTATCTTATTGGATTGTTTATGTTGTTTATTTCGTATAAAGTCGATTCTATGATGGGTTTAAGTGACCTTGGTATATTTTAATATTTATTTCACAAAATGAGTTAAAAAAATGAAAATTCAATGTTTTAATTTTTTTATTTAGAACCGAAAGCACCAAATGTTGTGCTATTATTGTTGTGTTTCTTGCCACTCAATTTTCTGGCAGCTACTCAAGATATTGCTGTAGATGGATGGGCACTAACTATGTTATCAAGGTAAATTATTATATTCAATTTTTCATTTTATTTTATTTTTTCTAACTTATGTTTTTTAGTTTTATCTGTCTTTTAGTTTTATACTAATGTACTAAAAAAGCTTCCACTGAAATATTTTTCTAGGAAAAATGTAGGGTATGCTTCTACATGTAATGCAGTTGGGCAAACGACAGGTTTTTTTTTGGGTAATGTCGTCTATCTGACGCTAGATTCCCCAGATTTTGCAAATCGCTTTTTCCGATCAAAGCCACAGCCTTATGGTTTGATAACCCTATCTGGTTAGTATTTTTGTTCGCAGTAGGAATATAGTCAAAGATAGATATCTTTGATAGTATTTTTACTGATATACTGATATATACTGGTATCAATCTTAATTACTGTTTTTTAATCGCAGAATGTTTTATAACTTTTTTAAAAATTCTTGGGTGGATAATAGCTGGCTATTTTTTTATGAAGATTGTGATTAGCCTTTTTATTATTTTTTCTTGATAATTATTTAGCGAAAGAGTCAATAATTTCGTCTCCTTTTGAGAAGATATAAATATATGAAGATTTATATATTTGCCATAACCATTATTTGGGTGAATTGAATTCACCTAATTGAATTTTTTATCTTTTCTAAAAAAGATTGTTTAGTTCAAATCTGATGAAAATATGTGATTAATGAAGGGAATGTTGTAATCAGTTAATAAATTATTCAGTTTTATTCAGTTAATAAATTAACTAATAAATTGAGAAATGATTAATGATTCTTGTGATTATTATTGCTATTTTACCTATTCTCAATAATTTTTTTTTGTGATATCAATTATTAATAGTGACCACATATGGCAAATCATTTTCATTATTCTTTTTTGGCTGAAAAAAATAGGGAAATTTGAATAATTTAATAGATTTGATTTTTTCATCAAACAATGATTTATACATCATTCATACATCAGCAACCAAAAGAATTTTATCGTCATAATTCTATAAAGTGGAATACATTTTGTTTTACTGGATTGTACAATAAAATGCGAGAATTTTTGATGGAAATCTGATACGTTTATGCTTTATTTCACATTGTTTATATTTACCAGTTATGAATTTAGTTTTTCATTGGAAATTTTTTTAAACGATTCGCACTGAACAGACAAAAATTTTGACTCAAAAGAAAATTTGTTTAGTTTTTTCAGCTTGTTCGGCCAATCCAGTAATAAGTGTCGAAAATCCTTAGCTCACAACTGAAATATAACTATAATTCATGAAATTCTTTAAAATCCAGTTAAAATAATTTGAAGGTATGAATACTGTCTGAACATTTCCTATGAAATTTTAATTAATTTAAAAAAAGGGGACGTGTTTTTTTCATATTTTAAAGGCATCTTTTAATTTATTTCTGTATTATTCGGGTTCATGAAATGGAAGGTCTAAATGAGTATTCATTAAGGTTATCTCAGTTTATTATGCAATGTTTTTTGTGTAAGTTGAATTACCTGGTATTAGTATATTGGTCATATACGGCACTCATTCCATAGCCACCTTTTTCACCTATAATTACGGCTGACCACCAGTTACCAAAACGTAATTCAGCTTGTTGTTTCATGTACCTAGCTTGATAACTATACTGATGAGGAAATAAACCGATTGTTTCTAAGACCAGTTCGCGTAATTTCTCGGATTTACAATTTTCTACTGAAATTGTTAGGTATTGGAAAATGAATATTTTTCGATTTACGAAAGAAATGATGAGAAAACCATTGATTAAATTAATTAATTGGCAAGAAATCTTTTATTATTTTTTTTTGGGAAGTGAATTTTACAATTTCTTAGTCCATTATTAAAGGATGGAAAAAGTGTTCATTTAAGAAAGAACTGATATAAAACATGACAAAGTTGAAATGGAAATTTACCTGAAGTTGCTCGCGCTTGAATGAGAATAGCAGTCATATAGAACAGTAGCAAGATGGATGAGATCAGCTGCTTGATGGATATGTAATGATGAACCATCGTATTGCGTTTATATTGCTGATTCGGCGATAAGCGTTAGAGATATTTGCACTTGATAGTTATTTAGTTTAATTGGATAATTAATTGGATAGATTTTCAGTAAATATTTAAAAATCCAGATTATTCGGAATGTTCGTTGAATGTTCGTTTGGCATTTGAAGCGGAGAGGAAGCAGAAGGCGAGTTGAATATTTATGAATTTGGATGAATGAATGAATAAATGGTCCGAGTTTTATTTATCGTCTATGATGATGTTGATTTTAATAATGTCACACGGATCTTGATGAGATTTTTTTGAAAAGAGAAACTGAAAATCTATTTGGGTATGGACTTTTGCGTTGGCGTTGACGTTTCTCTCTCTCTCACTTTTGTTGATGATATTCGGCGGTTGCGTTTTTGTTTCGATAAGATAAATCGACAACAAGTTAGCTTAACATAGTTGATGGAGCATTAGAATCAATGCTCCGCCCTGGCAAGTATATACTGACACATCGAGATAGTCTCCGAATTCCCTCAAGTATTTGAAATCTGTCATTTTTATAAATATTAGAAATATAAACGCTCGGTCGTATCGAATACTTGAATTTTTTGAATTTCGTCTGCATATTTCTTCCATTTCTTCCATTTTTTCATAATTTCTTTCATTAACAGGTTTGAATTTTTTTAAAATATTGACTAGAAAAGTGAATTTATATCAATTTTATTTATCAAACTAATACTCTACTTAACATTTAATCGCAGATTTGAATGGAAAGGAGAGGCGAAAGTGAAATAAATATTCGCTATAGAAATTAACTTATAAGAAAATGTTTTGCTATTTTTTAGGTGTTTTTGAGGGATTTTTCGACTTTTTCGTACAATATTTTTGGATTTTCAGTTGTTGATTTTCTCAACTAAATTTCTTGAAAAAATTATACATCCTTGAGAATTCGAATTTTTTAAATTGTTGTTTTTATGTTTTACTTTTACTTTTTACTTTTCCTGTTTGGACATTTTCCTATACATTTTCCTATAATGTTTTTCATTTAATTGTTCCAGTTTTTCCAATAAATTATTTGATTATGATAATTTAGAAAAAATGATTCAAAAATAATTTGATTACATCGGTATAACATTCATTCAAAACTCTTTTTCCCCTCAACATCTTTTGGAACTGCTGCGCAATTTTCAGTTATTCATTTCCCGTTATACTACTCCTCATTCACCGTCAAGCGACGCTTTCGTAAGCTATTTCAGTATAGCTAAAGTACTTTATGTGATAGAGCCTTAGGAGAATATAAGGAATACTGAGGAGCCACAACTGGAAGGTTAAACTGGAAAAATATGGATTGGAGTCACAATAATCGCGTATTGCTGGAGACTATGGCTATAAAGACGCTTATAACAACGCTTTTCTACAATCTTTTTTAAAAAATAGCAAAAAAGATAGCAAGAGTCTGCAACTCAGAAAACAGATTTTCCACACATAACCTATACGTATGCCGATTCATTTCATTTGATTTTAAGTATCTCCTGGATCCACTCCAACCTTAACTGGCAAGGTAAAAAAAGAAATTACAACTCGGATAATGGTAGCTAGAAATGCATTCTTCCAGTTGACGAAGTTCTTTATGGATCCATCGTGAAAGCACCGTAAAAACGAAAATTCGTGTCCATTTAGCAACGGTTCGTTCGAGGATAATATCTTCCATGATCGCATCCACCTTCACTCAAATACCACTTGCATAAATAATGTCATCACAGAGCGCCTTCGCTGGTTAGGGCACATTCTCCGTCCTCCACCACAGGAATTGACATATATTTCGTTATTTGCTAAACCGTATGATGGTTGGCGTCAAAAACGGGCCAATCAAGACCTGGACTGATACGGTCAGGAAAGATTTTGAGCGTAAAGGTGGATCAGCAGTATATGGACTTAGACGATGGAAAAAGGAATGGCTTCCATTACTGTCGACGATATCATCAGATCGCGCCGCTTGGAAACATCTTACCCTTGTAGCCGTTGCAGCCAGCCTAACCAGTAATGATTAGAAGAAGAAATGATTATATATAGTAATTTAATATAATACAATATTAAAAATTTGCATCAAAACATATTTCCAATTAATATTAAAATTTCTTTAAAAAAAATTTATTCTATAGCGCAAAAGTTTTAAACAATCAGTTTTTCGTTCAAGAAAAATCTTTTAGAATTTTTCTTCTTCTGGGGTATCGTTTTTATTATTACCACCACTTTGGTATTGATCTTCAAGAAAGAAGTGGATCATTCAGCTTGTCAAAGATCGTTAGTTCGAATATTCCTTTTTGTACATTTTAACATCTTCATCTATTTTCCAGTCTTTTCTACCTTTTTCAATCTTTTTTTTCTATTTTTTATTCATTGTTTTCAGTGGGAGCACTAGTAGTGACGATGATGAATTGGAACTTGGGGTTTTTGATACGTATATATTGCTGTGGGATATAGTCCGATTAAAGCCGATGTTATGGATGATTGTTATTCTTTTAACCGGAAAGGTTTTTTCTCATATTTATCTTATATATTCCATTTTAATCTTTTTTTATTTATTATTTGTGAATCGCATTCAATTATGAATTTTCGTTGTAAAGAATAAATAACCACAATTTCTTTGGATCCAATTATGTTTCTAGGCAGAATCATCAAAGAACACGACAGAATTAGTCCTTGTTAGTCCAAAGAATTTTTTAACCATGGAAATAAGAATAAGAATGTTTAAAACTCGATGTGATATAAATCATTTAGAATCAACAAGAAATTACGTTTTTATAAAGGATTGTTATAGTATAAAAAACTGTTCTCACGAACATAAAATGACATAATCTTGTATCCAAATCAGAGAAAAGAAATCACATTCAAAAGAAAAAATGGTCCATACACCTAAATTATTTAGCGTATTACAAAAAGGCATATTGAAAGTACAAAATTAGATTAGCACTTTATAAAGTACAAAAGAAAGTGCAAAATTAGGTTTCCCTATTCAAAAATAATTATTTATTAATACAACAGTTGATTGAGCTAAAAGTCGAAGATTAATTTTTTATGTCTGTTTAAGATCAACTCGCAAAACCCCAATATTCTTTTTCAATCACATATTTTGAATTTCAAATCGTGTTTTCTGTTTCAGTAGTAACATGTGTAAGTGTAGATCATAAGGGATTTTGAATTTCCTGGTAGATCTTTTCAATTCTATGGTTTGTAATCGTAAATTTTATTCGCATTATTATTTTAATAACGATCATTTATGATGCTTTTTTAACTTACAGGTTGCATTTGGTGCTACTGATGGCATGACTGGTTTAAAATTAATTGCGATGGGTATGCCTAAAGATAAATTATCAAGTATGGCTGTTTTTTTAACTCCAGTGCAGGTTCACATTTTCTTAATTTTCATTAACTTTCACTCAGAATGTTTCAACACTGCTTAGGATCCCATAATGTAATGACAGATCGGAAATAGGAGATTTGCTGTGAAATAAGATTTAATAATCATTTATTGTGAAATGTTATTGTATTTTATATTGCATTATTATAGCTAGAACTACGAAAATTTTTCATTGATTTGTATTTCATTGAATTGATATTTTTTATTTTTTTAGGTTCTTTTGCCTTGGTTTATTGGCAAATGGACTGCTGGTTCTGGTCCATTGAATGTATTTTTGCTTGCATATCCATATAGGTAATTTTTAAGATACATTTGGTGCCTATAAAATTTTGTATTACATGAATCCTTTCAATGGTTTTTGGCACTTTTATTTCAAATTGTTGAGTGGAAATTTGGTGATCTTTCTTTTTTCAAGGGTTATTTTTTGCACTTCAGCTTTAAATTTTTATTAAAATGTTGGTAATGAATAATTTAATCTGATTTTACAGTTTTATGCTGGTTGCTTCTTTTCCTTTTACCTTTTTAAATTTTTAAAGAATATTTATGGGTGGTATCTTTGCTGCTCTTGTTTGGTGGACACCATCATTCAGAACTGAAAGGGATTTTTCATTTATCTTATATGTCTTATGGATTGTGGCTTATTGTTTCCATCAGGTATTGATTGTTTTCAATTAATTTAATGTTCACTTGTTCGTATAAATTTAGATTCAGCAGGTCAGTATAGATATTTCCAAAACTAAAACCTTTATTCTTTATAGCGATGAAAAATTTCCACCAAAAATTTGTATTCTAATTCTAGGTAGCTTCATATTCGATGTTTGTGTCAATGATGGCATTCAATGCCCAGGTATCAGATCCGAAAATTGGTGGGACTTATATGACATTGCTGAATACATTAAATAACTTAGGCGGCAATTGGCCGGTGACGTTGGTACTCTCCCTGGCGGATTATCTCTCTTACTACATTTGCTTCACTAAAGGCTCGAAAAGGTAAACGTCGATTTTTTGACAATTATCTTGTAGAAAGTCGTGGATTGATGCACAGTTAATCCATTAAATTCAGTTTTTTCAATAGTTTTTGAAATCTTAAAAAACAAATAAATGAGTAGTGAAAAGTAATACTTAAGTAATATTTCTTAATCCTTAACTGTGTTTCAGTTCTTTATATTCATGTAACGCAAAAGTTTTATCAGACCAATGCAAGAGCAGTGGAAATGTTTGTGAAGTTGTTATTGACGGATATTATGTTGCGGTCGCGCTTTGCTCTGTGATAGGGATAATCTGGTTTAAAGCTTTCTTCAATAAAATCAAATGTTTGCAAAAAATTCCGCGAACGGATTGGCGAGTTTTCTCCAAATAATGTGTCGATGAATCATTCCTTTAATTCATAAAACCATTCCAAAATATTCTAACGTCAAAGTTCTTAAGTGGTTTCTCGAAATTAATGTATTGAAATATATAAATTATTGTCACTTTAAACGCAGATTTTAATTTTACGTGATTTTGTGATGTATCTAGAGCAATGGCTTAGGTGTGGGGTTATCAATATTTTTTCAAAGTTTTTATTTCTTCCAACTTCTGATTTTTTTTTTTGTTTGGCTTTTAGCGCTGAATAAAAACGAAAAATGAACCGAATTTGTTTTGAAAATTTCGTTTTAATTTTAAAATGGAGAAATGGAAAAAATGGGTACTAGTGACAATTGTTTCCATTAAGGCTCGTGCTACGCTTTCCAAATTCGAATTTCCCGAGTCTTCGTGCTATATTCAAATTTTTTGATCATTTTTTTTTCGCTTATTCGATAGTTCTTTCATGGGTCCGTCGGAATCATCCTTTTCTTTTTCTTCATAATCTTTGCAAAGCAGTCGTTCCTAAGCCTCTTTTTGCCTCTTGCAACATCTTCGTCAATCCATCTCTTGATAACATGCCTGCCGATTGCAATATCTGCCTGGATGATCTTAGGTGCCCACAGGATTTCATCCATTCTCCCTTCGAAACTTTCCTCCAGATGGAATTCTTCATCAATTCAAATTATGATAAAAAGGTTTGCTTAGTCAAATTCGTTTTCTCGGCTTGTAAAAATATTCTTTCCCAAACATTTTTTAACATATTGTGAATATATTTCTACTTATATTTGGCTACTTTGTGAGGGCTATTGTTTTTTAATAAAAGGTGAAACCTCATGTTGTTAGAAGGCATTTGATAAAACATGCTCCCTAGAATTTTTCGATATATCTTAAATGAACGAAAAATATGCCATAGCAAGCCTATCATCATATTTACGATATTTTTTTTCTTCAGCTCACACTATTAATGGCTAGGCTGGCTTCAATTGCTACAAAGGTAAGAATGTTCCAAGCGGCGCGATCTGGTACCATTGTCGACAATAATAGAAGTCATCCCTTCTTCCATCGTCTAAGTTCATACACTACTAGTCCACTTATACGTTCAAAATCTTCCCTGACCGTATCAGTCCAAGTCCTGATTTATCCACCTCGCTTTTGACGTCGCCCAACACGGGATTAAGTAGGTAACGGAATACATGTCAACTCTTTCGGCGGGCCACGAAAAACGTGCCCTAACCGGTGAATGCGACGCTCTGTGATGGCACGTTAAGTAGTATTTAAACGATAAGATGGATGCGATTATGAGAGATTCGCTCGGCGAACCCGTAAAACATATCTTAGATATAAATGGTCAAAGGCAGTTGGCTTCATAACATCCTTCACTCTCATCGCAGCCATATAGCAAGATCGCGATTATATCGGTTCGTTTTTATGTTGATTTCACGGCTCCATAAAGGTTTTGTAAATGATCATTTATGATATTTGCCAAGATTATAATAAAATGCACCTAAATATGAGGTTTATTTTTTCCTTAAACTAAGTGAAATAATGGTTTTACTTCTTATTCTATCCTATTTCCACTTTTTTAACATTTTCGCCTATATATGGAAAAAAATTCTGATTTAAAATTCCAACTGTTTCAATAGCTGATAGTCGCATTCAAATGAACTTTATGCTTTAACAGAAATAACATTCATTCATCTGCAACCGTATCTTCGGAATATTTTCCTTTGAGTAAACCAGTAACGCGAGCACGTCCAGCTGCCTTGCGTTCAATTAAATCGCGGCGATCTTTGTCCATTTTTAATTTGATTATTTGTACCTAAAAAACTACGTTTATGATGAAGAATTTTATTTATTTTAATAGTAAGGAAATAAGGCGCTTGAAATTTTCAGTTTTCGATTAAGATTATCATTCCATTGTCTAACTGAAAAAGGAAATTTTTTTTTTAAAGAGTCCTCACCATTACTGGTTAAACTCGCTCCACTAGCTTGTCGCATTGGGCAATATGCCAAGGAGTCTACCTTGGTGATAGAAACACAGGTGAGTCGCCAGCATCACCCGGATTTTTGTACAGATTTACTCCTGCAATCGAACCTCAACATCGGCGTTCCCAACTGAGCAACCCACGGAGCCATTCTATCCTTTTTTAAAAAGAAAATAAATATAAGAGAAAATTACCTTTGACGGATGAATCGGAATATGCACCGTAGAGCCGTTCGCTTTTTCGCGTGTGATTTTATCAATATGTATAACGAATTTTTTTCTATAGACTCTCATTACTCGACCTGAATTCCCTCTGTAATGGCCTCGCACCACCGTTACCTCATCATCACGCCTAAAATAACGAATACTATCTAAAGCTCCCATGGGAAAATAAAGATAATATGTTTGAATTACAAATCATTCAAAGAATTTGAATACAAAAAGAAAATGTTCCAATGAATCTCGCTATGCTCTTCATCCATTCTGTTAATTTAAATCTTTTATCTTTTAACCTCCTGGATATCCAAAAATCCCCTTGAACCTCTTTAATGTCCCATCAAATTGTGCTGCACTTGCGAAAACTCGACAGTAAAACTCTTTCAACTCTCTTCCTACGCTGATTCTGCCAGATCGTGCTATGGTCTCCTATGGCTGTTCCAAATTCTGTTACACTCTTTTGTTAATTTTTACATTCGAAACCTCGGTTCTCCTTCTGGAAATCCCTTAGTACCATACTTCATGAAAAACTTTTCCAGACCCCACCATGTGCTCCCTGAATGTTCCCCAAAGCTCCACTGTATTGTTCTATGATCCATTGTTTGAACCACTTTTTGCCATTTAATCTTTTCAGATTTAATTAACTGCCTAATTTCATTTGTGCATTCATTTTGTTTCTTTAAGGCCCACTGAAATCTATTAGTCTCTTAATACTCTTTTGTCAGTTTATTTAGTGATTGGAAGGAATAGTACGGCAATAGTATTGGAATAAATCGGGAATTAAAAGGGAAAATTAAGGTAAATTACGACAAAAAAAAGGTAGAGGAATGAAAAGAGAGAAACGAAGGAATTTACAAAGTAACAACAAATTTGTGATAGAACGCAATTACTATTATATAAAAGTATGAGTATGCAAAAGATGATTAACCTTATTGGAATACTACGTATGCCATGTTTGTTTCGTAAATCCTTTATAAGTGGTGCACTCATCATTTTCCGTCGCAAATGTGACGGAGCATTGAAATGTGCTTTACGTGATTTTCGTGCTGATGATGATACGAACTGATTTTGTTTCATACCTGCAAATAAGAGAACAATGTGTAGCAAAATATTTGCATATTTTGGTGGAATAATAGAACTGCAATAAGAAGAAAATACGAAAGAATTATAATTCCAAGGTTCATTTTTCTATAATCACGCAAACCATAACCGATGTTTCCAAACAACAAATATTTTCAATAAACAGTTAATGGTTTAGCAAAACGAGTAAAATTACTATTAGTTATGCACAGGAAAAAATTAAAATACGGCTTTAAACGGAGAAACATGACCTGTTATGTTGAAAACTTTAGCTTTGGTCCTGAAGCGGCTCCTGAACTAATCAAACCGGAAAGATTAAAAAAGCTTTCTCGATAAAAAAACCAGCCTTATTTTACAGCAGCTTTCTATCCTCAACTTTATTTTTGATGCTTTTCAAATTTTGCTATTTTAATTTGCATTTGCTATTTTAATTTTTACTTCATTCACTTAAAACTTTTGAAGTAATCTTTCTAATTTACTTCATTATTTTTTTACTACTTTTTAAGCAAAAATTTCATAAAATAAATTCAAATACCAAAATAAGTCTTATTTATGGAAAAAGATTTCTATTATGCGCTATTAAGTGGTGTATGCAAATAAAGTGAAATTAAGGGAATATATGGAGTTTACACTATCAAAAAACGGAGCAAAATAAAACTCCACTGTTTTACCAATAAAACAATTCTTAAACATCTGTGCCAGCAGTTACTTTGACCGTTTCATGAAATTCTTGTTGATAGCTATGACATTGCAAGTCACGAATTCATTCGAGATTCTGCTGGAAACTTAGAATTCATATTGGGAGAAATACAAAATAAAAAAATCTCACTTTCAGTTAAGGGAGAGTTTTGTGAGAAACCGCATATTTGGGCCTCAAGCTTGATAATGGCGACAAACAACAACCCCAAAGACGCCAAACCCACCACCCTTTGCCCCACTTACCATCAAACATACAGTTTTCACCACAGTAAGCTTTTAGTAAATGCCGACAGATTTTCCACTGAAGACTTCAGAAAAACATTAACAGCTCAATATTCATCTTACACATGGAAATGGAAATATGTTATAACGAGGAGCAGGAAGTCGTGTTATTAGACTACCGAAGAGCGTCAGAACTATTTGGATAGTTTATGATTGTCCAGTATTGTTACGTAATATCAAATAAGTTGTAGTCAGTAAAGCAATAATTTATAAGCAATTCAACTGCAAATCACAGCCGAATGAAATACATTTTATTAATATAATAATGGAAATAATGGTAATATTACAATAAATTATCAGGAATAACCCCAAAATACCCTCACAACTGAAGAACACTACGACACTAAACTGAAGAATTGAAGGGATTTGCCAATATTTGTGGATTTTTTCGAGCAAAAGCCATGCTGATTACGGGATATATTAAATTGTTGCCATCAAGATAGCTAAGCAACTTCATGCAAATCGGTCTCTCCAGCACTCTGCTACCGTCACATGTTAGGCTAATAGGTTTGCAATTGGGAGGGTCATAGGTACTTTTTTACGAATGAGAATTATATGGGACAATTTTTTTGATTCAGGCCATTCCTCATAATATCATTGTAAATTAAAAACTGCTTCTTTTAATGCATTTTTTATGAAATATTCATGGAATATTGTTGGGAGCTGAAATGGATGGCTCGAGTTGGTTTAGGGCGAAAACATCGAGCAGAACTATATTAGCCTCACTGAGAGAACCGCAACAATTTCGATTTTCACAGAAAAGAGTGCTATTTAGTGCGACATCGTCTCAACAGATGCACTGGAAAAATATTGGTTAAATAAACTTGCAACATTTAAGTCGGAAATGTTCGCATTCTCACAGCACAAGTTAAAAGTGTTAGTGTATTTATCAGAAAAATTATTTAAGATGAATATGCTAGAGGGTCCCTTGACGGCAAAAATACAGGTGAATGGCCAGCATCAGACTTTCAGACTTTTAGATAGACAGACTTTCGAAAAGGGTTTATTTTTGCAGCGAGGAGGACCTCAGCATTGCTGCTGCGAGTTGAACCCACTGAGTCACTCTACTCCCCTTTCTCCGATAGTGCCGCCCGACAAAGCGTTGTATGTCGGCCAGATCCGAAACCAAGTCTCGGTTCTCGATTCACTATCTTATCATTGAGGCACCGATGCACCTGTTCTCTTATTTATGAATAAAATGACTCTAAAAGCATATCTTAAGCTGTTATACAAATTAGAAAAAATCTTTCAAAATACTTTTCTCCCTACCAAAAATAAGTTTTTGATATTCCCTTTGGCCAATAGAAGATTTTACACATTTTTATTTAAGCTTTTTATTTCAGTAATCATATTGCATCACAGAGTATCGTAAAACTTTAAAAATTAAGTTTTCCAATCGATTATTTTTTTCGATTGGTGAAATTTTTGAAGCAGTTTGACGCTCTTATTTAACGCTCAAGCAAGTCCAGAACATAGCACCATAGACCTAGAATACGCTGATGATATAGTCATTTTTGCTTACACTTATGAGGAAATGCAAATAATGCTAAACAATATGTCAACAATTACAGCGAGAATTAGTTTAAAAATCAATGTAAATAAAACGAAAGTATTTTCATCTTATATACAAAATGCTGATAAAATGCCTATTTTTCATTGCCGGTTGAGGAAATGCTGGGCTTTAAATACCCTGGATCCACTCTAACCCCCAATGGCAAAAGACGATATTATGGACGATAATGATGGACTGCAAATAATGACCAGCCCTCGAAAAATATTCACATATTGCTGTAACGATACCATACCATATGCTGTACCCATTAACCCATTTTTAACACATTTTTCGTATAACCCGAAATCCCGATATATATTTGCTTGGCAATGCAATCCACTACCTCGTGCAAAAAAAATTGGATCGTAACTTTTGCGCGATCCAAAGTTAGGTGAAAAGGTTGGCGAGCTTTTATTTACTCCAAAATTCAATTAGCGCAATGGTTTCTCTTAGAATAATTATAATTTGCAATTCTTGTTTTGAAGGGTGATCTCGGTTTGCTATTTTTTGACAAATTCCAAATTTTTTCTAAGAATATTCCGTTTTTAAAATCAATAAAAATCAAGGTCGATTTTATTACCAATACTAGTACTGTTTTTATTATTCCATTTTCGAATAACGTCAACAATGTTTTTTTCGTGAAAATATTAAAATTGTATACTGTATAATTTATGTTTTCATCTTTATTCTAAAACCAAAACCTGAAAAATATTACAATTTCAGAGTTACACAATCGCAGTTACTGCAGAAAAATTTGAGTAAGTAAGAAAAGAATGTCAAAATCTCTTTCAAAAAAATCTTAACAAAACGTACTAACTACTCTCACCATTTTTAGCCATTTGGCAGACACACCACTGACTACCAAAAATGAAATTCTTTTCATCAAAGAGTCACCGGCACTTAAAAACAAAATTCCAGATCTAACTCCAGCATTATCCAGATTTCAAATGGGAAATGTGCTCAGATGAAAAGGCAGGAATAAAAGGACAGAGACAAAAAATACAGGACACTCGATCCTAGAAGCAGTACCACTGGACATTCAATCCAACTCCTCAATCCAACTGCAATATCATGGTGTAGAATGATTGTAATCAAATTGTTAATTAGGAAATTTTAATAACAATTTCAGAAAATTTATAAAAATTTATAATTTATAAAATTTAAAGGTAAATATGGAAGAACATTAAAATACAAAAAAAATTCAAAATTTTTCAAAATCACAAAATCAAAAAAAAAATTATAAATTAAATACTTTGGAAACCAAGGTTTTGGCCAAACTGAAAAGAACTGCAATACTTTCAAAAAGATGGATCTCGTGTTTCAAAATTTAGAAAATGCAATTTCTAGTAAGTCACATATATGCATTTCTATAAACTTTTTCATATAAATCAGGCAATCCTTGACAGCATGCATATTTTGAACGAACATAATCGTACAAAGAAGAATCATACATTTCCCAAAATTCGGGCCTGCTCATATTTATATCGCCATGAAACATTTGAAATCTGAAACGCAACAATTTCCCTAGAAAAAAAACTAAAATTTTACTGAAAATCATTTCAGAGAAAAATTCGAAATTCTTGATTCATAAAAATTTATAACAGCTATTATAATCATTCATTAATAATACTTATAAATATTCATAATATCCATATCTTATATAAAAACATTTATGGGAGAACAAATCCCATAATAAAACTAAATTAACAAAAAATGCAACAAACCCATCAACAACTCGCAAATATTTTTCCAAATTCTTTATAGCTCGAGTGGGTGAAAAATTTGTAGTAATAAATCCATATATTCCAACGGCAATATACAATACGTTTTCTCCTTTCTGCTGTCGTATAATACCTGGAAGCGATGAAACAATACATGGAGTCAGCAATAACGGATAAATCTAAAAATTCCTTTAATATTAAATATTTTTTAAGAAATTATGGTTACGCTTATAATTATAAAATTATAAAATAAAATATCAATAATTAATTTAATTTATGATTTATAATTTTTCAAAAATAAATAGCAAAACGAAAAAAAACTACCGAACATTCGCTAATTACTAAATTGAGAAATGGCTTGAAATCACTGAATGGTACCAACATATCTTCAAATATATAATGAAGACATAATGAACTGTAAAAACTGCAAAGTAATTGAGACTTGAACCATTTTAAAAACATAAATTTTGGAGGAAACATCCACCCAAACAAATAACGAAAAAGAGCGTAGTTTGCGAAAGGCGCGATATCCTGAAACGAAATAAACCGAAGCTTTTTTAGATTTCATTTTAAGTTTAATCCTTACGGATTTAAAAAATTTACAAAACAAAAGGAGCGAAAAACTAAATTTAAAATAAAATCAATGGGGGCCCTCAATCGTTCAGTAATCAATTTTTTAGCAAAAAACGAATATTAAACAACTATGCTGAATCAGTGGTTCTTAATATAAAACTGATGCACTCTCATGACTGAAGCCACACCGAGCGTGATTCGATTAGGGATTAGGGTCATTCAAATAGCGACTGCTTATTTCTTCGATTCATAAAATCAGTATAAATCACTACTAATCGTGAAAAACGGAACTTTTATTACAAGATTTATTTAAAAGCAAAAAAGAAAAAACCTAAAACCTAACAGATAGGCACTAGTATTTCAACAAGAAAATCTAATAAATGCCAAACAAAGAAAAGAAATTGGATTTATTAATAATTATTTCATTATTTATCAATGCAGTCAGTTTTTCTTGATATTGATTTATTATATTTACAGTATCAATGCTGATAAAACTATTATAAATGTGCTTTGTAGACAATTTATAATTGATATAAAATCAATAATTTAATAATATACTGAACAGAAAATAAGATGGATCTTTCTAACAGATGAATACACACATTTCGGCAGTTCAAGGAGTGAAAAAGTTAAGACTACGCTGTATAAAAATGCATTTTATCAGCACTTTTTAGTGGCCATGCGTCGCTGAAATTGAAAATAGAAATAAAAGAAGACTATAAAACTGTAGATGTGATTAAAATCAAATTAAATTCAAAATCAAAAATCTTATCAAAAATCTATTTGCAAATCACTCTGACAAAAATCTGCATGACAGAAATACCTGCAATAGCCAAAACAACCCACGAGTATGACGATTATAAAAATCTTTGGTTGGAATATATTCCACTTTCTCTATATCTGTCATAAACTGATCAATATGCTTAAAAAACCATGGCTTATACCATTTGCCTTAAACATTTGTAAATATTTATATAAGCATATTTAAAAATAAAAACACAATATATTCTAACCAAATTCATTAACTTTCGTATTTTTTGGTAGTGCTTGAATGAATTTGCCGTAAATTACAACCGATTTGTTTTGAGAGAATTGTATCGCTTCTACAACATTGTTTTCAGGATTATCTGATTCTTCTTTGATCACATTCACTAAATCCTGTGAAAAAAGTTAAAAAATGTTATAAAGAATTTCTTTCCTCAATCCTGAAGAATCGTGTTAAGAAAAAAAGAAGAAAGAAATAAAAAAATAACTAATTTGAGAATTTTGCAAGAAAATACCAAAAACGACAATTAAGAGAGACAATTAAAATTTAAAAATTCAGTTTATTTTACAGTTAACTTCTAAGAATGTAACTTACTGATAAGGAGGAACATTTTCTATAAGTTAATTGCACAAATGGTTGGTATGGCACAATTTTTAATGTGGCTGACAATAAGAAACCTATAGTTCCGCATGACCAAGGCAATGCAAAGAATAAAGACTGGTCAAGAGACGACTCTCCATCCTATAACAAGAAAAAAGGTATATTGGACTCCGTGTAAAAAGTTATTAGGAGATAAATTTAAATGACCAATAAATAGCGCTTACACGCTATAATGAAACGTGAGCAATCTCCATTTGTGGGTAGGCTCGCTTACTGGCTTAGTAGAATGAGACAGTTTTAGAGCACATTTGGGGATTGCTCGCTAAAAATAAAGTCGAAACCGTGCTCGAAATTATAACCTAATGTAAGCAATAATCATACTGCGTTATCGATTTAAAAAAAATAAGATTCGCAGCATCTATGATTTAACACAAATTCAGAAATCAACAAAAGATTTAAATCCAACCAGATTCACAGTTGAAAAACTAACCTTAGATGCAATAATAGTTGTACCATCAGCTAGCAAAATTTCCATTGAAATGCAAATGTTATGGAAAAAACCAAATTTATGGCTACCAGCGCCGCAGCCTCCACCATTAATTAGCCCTTAAATTATCAAGAATATTAGGCTATCTCGATATATAATTAATATGTTAATATTAATAAATCTTGTTCACTGGTGAGGTTAACTGAAAAAATGAAAAGTTCAATAAATTTCCTATACATTACTTTCTGGCAAATGAAGAAAAGCGAAAAAGGAATAAGAGAATATGGAAAAGAAAAAAGGAAAAAAAAATACGATTACCAACGCCGGGCGCATATCCGAAAAAAACTATTTTTTAAATAATTTTCAATATTTGATGTAAATATAACGTATTCACGATGAAAAAAAATAAATTCTTTCAAGTCATGCCACTGATATTTTAAATTGTCATGGAAAATGACAATTAGCAAAATCTTAGAATTTGATAGTTTACCTCCAACAGTTAAATCATCAAGTGGCGGTACTATAGGTAAAGTATATCGGATACTAAGGAGATACTTCATTAATTGATTTACAGTAACCATAGGCTCTACTTTTGCGGTGCCTTTCTCCAAATCGATCTAAAGCATAGAAAAAGTGGAAATAAAAAAAAAGAAAAAATCAGAAGGAAAAATAAATAAATGCAAAAAAGTACGTTAAACAAAGATTTATTCAGCAAAATTCCTTTTTCTTCCAGCTGAACTGATAAGTGATAGGTGATAAGCCTTAGAGTATACCTACTATACCTATAACTACAGTCCTTCACCTTGCAATGTTCAATTATTTACTTTGCTTCGGCTTTACCCAATGAGGTTTCATTATCTTATTTAATTAAAGTTAAATAAACAAGTACAAGATGATAAATGAAAAAGAAGCCAAAATTTTATCTCATCGAATGTTTTATAGAAATTTCTTGAAGAAAGAATCTTTTCGAGAAATTTGTAATACATTACGAATTGCGTATCTTTAAAATCCTCAAAAGCTAACGCGAAATAGGAAAATCTGCTAAATGCTTGCAAAAATTTTGCTTCCGTTGGCCCCGCTCACTAAAAAAACGTGCAAAAAACATAAAAAGTTTAATAAAAAAATGCCAACCTCAAGGATATCTTTCAATTGTTGTATGGAAATATTTTTTAGCGTTTCTTTATATTTAATACATTTGAAATTTGTCGCTTCCCATTTCGATCGTCCGCTGCACATTTTCAGCGATTTAGCTTCCTTATTTCGCGCAATGATCTGTTATATTTTAACGCCAGATTAATTAAAAATTTAACCAGAAAAATTAAGCGACCAGAGTTCACCATTTCTGGCTGGACCATCTCTGCATGGCTGTAAATGCTTGGCTCGCCAACGCGCCTGGGCTATTTACTGATAGATTTACTTTTATTGGAAACGAATGTCCCTGCCCTTCCATATGTCCCCGGCAACTACCCACCATGCTCTCCTATAATTTTACCGTTAATATTAATCTTATCCTTGTTTCTTTCGCTCGAATTCACAATGCATTCTACATTGTCATTGTCTTTAACGAAATTCTCCTTTATTAAAAAAGTTGAAATCTTATCAAATGGTTAATGGTTAAATTTATATATTAATTTTTTTAAAAAGAACTTTAATCCCAAATTTTTTTCTTCAGCACTTTTTTTCGCAGAAAATATTCAGAAATTCTTGTCCACACTGGTTCATGCTCGCGGGTCCCCGCTTTCTTTCTCTTTTCCTGTCCATTTGCATTATGCATGGCGGAGCATAGATCGCACGCTGCGTGGCCGTCATAAACGGGAATAAGTTTTTTACCTCTTTTCTTAGTTCGTTGACCTTTCTTGCATGAACTTTTATTGCAATTCCAAGTGTATTCATTATATTATTACGTATTGATAGGTAATAATTATAGAAGAATGATAAAGGGACAATAACAGCGATTATAACAATCCACCGAAATCGAAATTTAATCCATTCAATCAAAAAGCTGAATAACATTTTATTTTTCATTTCAATTATTCTCTTCATAACACTAAAAAAATTTATAAAGTAAAGGAGTTTACTGCATCGATAATTTGATGGAACAGTTACGCACGACCAGTTGCATAATATGCTATGTGGACAACTGTCAATGCTATAATAGTAACGTGCTTCACCAAAGTGATATAGAAATGTTACCAGATATTATGTACAGAATATGATATGAAGTTCCACAGCATCAACAATATATAATATTGTGAGCATTGAAAGCACCGATGCACGCATTTCAATGATATCAAAATTCAGTGATTATGGTCAAAGGAAAACAAGTGTTAAGTAAAAAACAAGTATTGTTTAATTATTCGCAATAACTAACAAAATAATACCTAAAAAAATTAATAGCACGAAATGAACAGAAATCAATGAACAGAAATGAGAATCTATTCTCTAAATAACAATAACTGATAACAAAAATCATCGAAGTTGGCTTATAAGTCCAGTTTAGAAAAACAAACTGATTGTTATCAAACGCTACTAGTCGGCTTATTCAAAGAAAATTTGCAAAATATTATTGAATTTATTTTTAATGAAGAAATAAATAACAAATTCAATCAATTGCAATCAATAATCAATTGCAACAAGGAGTTAAAAAAATGGCCAAAGAAAAAAGAAAAAATTGAAATATTAAGCAAAATTTGAAAGTAATTTTTAGAAATAAAAATCCAAGAAAGGAATAGATGATTAATTACAAAATTAGGGTATTTTTTCCATCGAAATTCCTTGATGCACAATATTCACTGAAGAATATTTTGATTTCGAGTGAGTTTTAGTTATTGTTCGTTTACAATTTCTTTTACATAGCTAAAATTCATGAAATCGGATAAGATTTGAAGAGATCTTTCCTTAATGATGAAAAAATTAATAATAAATAAAAAAACTGATAAACCTCGAATCCCATCGAAAAATTTTTTTTTGACTGATTTACGAGGAATTGGAGCTATAAAATAAAATATTTATAATAAAGTTATGCACCAATAAATTTTCCTTAATTTTTTTTTATATTTCCTAGTCATATTCCGATCAATTAATTCGTGAGCAAGTTTGTAAAAGATAATTATTGAATTATTACCTCGGCTAACTTTTGGAGTGCTTAATCGTTTAAAAAATGCCTCAATTTCCGCTTGTGTTTTACGTCGAATTATTTTAGGTTGTTCCTCTTCCTTTTTCTCATTTTCTTTACCAATATGATTTGAACCACCTCTAATTTTAATCTGCAATTTTACTGATTCCAGAACTGTACGAACTCATATTTTTCTTTTATATGGTTACAAAAAAATCGATTTTTCCTTTAAATTGCTTATGTTTCTTTATTTAAAATAATTGTCACTGAACTAACAAATCAATAAAATGGAGCGAAATTTTACGTCAGACAATATTTAAGAGAGGTAATATAAAAAAAGATACTTGATATTGACGAAGATTATTCTCCAAATTCTTAAGGGTCGGCGATATGAGATGGCTAAAAACTTGGCTTTTGCTAGACACTGTCGTTACTAAAAAAAAAAAATGAAATATTTCATTATTTTTTAAAATTTAGCCTAATTTTTTCAAAAATTAAATAAATAAATAACCTTCCAGATTAGTCTCTGACGGCTTCGTCCGATCAAGAGACTCTCCTCCTTTGTCGCGCCGAGCCAATGATTCGTGGAAACGGCGTTGCGATACCACATCTGCTATTTTTCCGTCTGAAATTTAATTTTTGATGGTAATGAAAGAATATGGAAGAGAAAAAATTCCATACAACGCAATAATCTTCCAAATTATTTTTTAGAAATCGTTAATTCGCCTATTAATTAACAATATAAAAAACGAGGATTTATAAGAGATGATCGAAAATAAATAGCTTATCTGCACTAGATTTTCGAACACGCATTGGAGTCGTACGGATTACTCGAGTTCGTGGACGTGATTCATGATCTGACTGAACTTCATTTAAATTCTTCACCTGAAGTGATTAATGCAATTCAATATTCTTTAAAAAAATTTGAAAAACATGGCAATAAAACAGGAACAAATGTAAAGAATAATTAAAAATTACTTTCATTCCATTATTTTTACTCATTGAAAACAAATTGCGAAATGGTTTCTGAATAGTTGATTCCATAGATTTAAATTTAGATTCTGTCAATATTTTATTTCGTGGAACAGTTCTGGAAATCAGTGGTATCTCGATGAAACTAATATTAAAAACCCCAACAAAAAGCAATAAAATTTTCTTTCATAAAAAGCTCATCTTTCAGCTAAGAATACTGTATTAAAACTTCACACTGTAAATTTGAAATAAAGATTTACTCATTTTGCATTTTCGTTCGAGACCTAGTCTCCGGACCTTGATAAGGTGCATTGTGACGCAAAAGAATTGTTGGCTTGCCCTTTTTTTCTTGACTTTGCCGAATTTTTTGTAAGCCTTTCGTAATTTCACTCAGTTTCGAACCATATGCATCACCATGGCTCTCGGATGCATTGCTAACAATGTTGCTCGGTCTATGGTTTGCAGCTATTATTTTCGACTGCATTAAAGTAGTTGATTTTCCCAAACTGGTAACATGATTACCTTTACTGTTCAGAACCATCTTAAGAGTACGACCGTAACTAAATCTTTTTGCTGTGGCAGATTCCTTTGGAATCGATGGCGTTGCCATTTTCTTGAGAGAAGAATCAAAACTTGCTGCTCTTGTCCTTAGAACTGATTGACGAAACACCTGGGCATTTGTTTTCATTAACTTGTTTTCTGCTTTATTACCTTGAAGTTTATGGGTTGGCTCATGACTTGCCGATCTGGCTTGAATACGGCCAGAACGACAGATTAGATGAGTTTTTGAAGTAATAATTTGCGGTGTTTGCCTTGATTTTATTTGCGACGAATCTGTCATTATTTTCTCTGAAAGACTATAATCTGCAGAAACCGATTTTTTCATTTGCTTCGAACCTTTACCTAAAATATGAAATGAAATAAAATGATTTGAAAAATAAAATATAAAGTAAATATAAATAAGTATAAGTAAATATAAATAAAATATAATGAATATAATAAAATAAAAATACATATTAATAAAATTATTTCTCTACAGCTAAATAAACAAAAAAAATCCCAATAACCTTGGCAATTATTCATTGCTGGCAAAGGAACCTGTTTTGTTTGTGCTACTGAAGTAGGTTTTCCACCAAGCATCAACATTTTATGAACTCCAAAATCACTTTCAACAGCTAAAAATCGCAAATACTTTAATAAACTTAACATTTGCAAAAAAAAAGTGTAAATAATTGTTAACTAATTTATTATAATTTGTTTAAAAAATGCCAAAAAAGAATACATTGCTTCTCAGAACTCTTTGTCGCATTCTCTTTATTTTCGGTTTTTACCACATTATCCAAACTTTCATCATTCAAATCCTGGAGTATTTCCTTTAATCTCTTCAAAGTACCATTTTATTTTCATTTTAAAAAATTTGGACGAAAAATCTTTTTAATCAAATTACTGATTCGTAACACTTTCACAATTTAACTTATTACTGAACAAGAAAACAAGAATATAATTTTTTATCATTTTATCATTTTTAAAAAATTCGATATTAACCAAAAACTTTGAATTTCGCAGTTTCAAATCCAATTGCGCTTTTTTAAAGCATACACAAGTAAACAAAGTACTTGAAGGATATAAATTTTATGAAATATAAAAAATATTTGTAACCTGAATTAAACATTTTTAAAACCAATGTACCGATAAAATATTAAAAGTATTGTTGTACTGCTGTTATATTAAAAATAAATATAAATATGGGAAAAAGACGAACAAAGAATCGGTCGCCTAATGTATTATCATTTGCGTATTGAAGCTCGCTGAATTCCGCATAACGAGGCACCGTTGAAATATCATAAACATCGTTATCGCTCGACATTTCTAAATGTATTTGTCCTCACAATAAATCAAATAATTAACAATCAATCTTATGCAAAAATGTCAAATTTATTCCATGAGATTACCTTTATAAAATAATTCTAAATATTGTTACTGCTATGTTATTTCAGCAAACTATCCAGGAAACCCCAAGACTACCATTTTTGCATACAACGCAGCTAAGGTCAAATGCTCTTGTCTTTTCTAATTTTCCTTTTTATTCTCTTTCTCTTCTTTCATTTCTTTTCTATTTGCTGCTCATATATTAATTGCTCACCAGTAACTTAATAATGAAATCGTCGAAAAAGAGGAAAAAGTCTCTTGGAGAAAAACCTGAGGACTGTGATGGACGAAGGAGGACTTGATAGAAGATATTACTAACCACTAACCACTAATTAACTTATTACTTCTTTATTACTTCTTTATTCAATGAAAAACTAATGAAAAGTAAAAAAAATGAAAATCAATGAAACAGCATCGACGAAACTTTTTTAATGATAATTTTCTTATAGATAAAAGACTTGTTAGGACTTTTTATAAATAAAGGACTTGGGCGTGAGGGGACTTGCTAGTTGGGCGTGAGGGGACTTGCTAGTTGGGCGTGAGGGGACTTGCTAGTTGGGCGTGAGGAAGCCACCTACCTTGATCAGTGGAAAGGTAACCTAAATCCAATTGAAAAAAAACACCAAACGAAATAAACCATTGACAACTATAGAATGTTTAAGAGTATAAAACATCTACGAATCAACGAAGCCTACCATCGAACCGGAAAAACGATTCAAATCAGATTAAATTTTGAAAAATTTCCCGCTTGAAGAGATCGTTTCGAGACCAAACAAATTTTTAAAACTTTTTTAGCTTCTATTTCTGGTTGTCAGATTACTTGTTCTTTTTAGTTGTAAATGAGGGTTTATAAACAGTAGGGAAGGAAAGGGAGGGAGGAGGAGGGGAGGAGAGGGAGAGGGGTTGGTGGGTTAGTGTTAGTTGTGCTAAAAAACTATAGTGATTTGCCTTAAAAATAACAAATATTTCTCAGAAAGGTTTTTTAGCCTTTTAGGGAAAATGGAAAATATGAAAGTGGGATCTGCTGTTGATTACAGAAATTCTTCGCATTTATTCCAAATTTCGATATTTCGTCATGGAAATTGTGCCATATGGTACGGAGATTA